GGAAGACCGCGTATAACAATACAACATATAAAACAATTTATTTAGAAATCGTGAGATGCGGTATGGTGTGATGTAGGTTTCAGAAAAACATTTTCTTTATCGTGCCAACGTTTCGATCTTTATTGAGATCATCTTCAGGGCTCGAAGCGTTTGTCTTCTGTTTAATTGTGTCATTCTTGCGGGTCGTGTCGAGAGTGCCGAAGACAAACACTTTGAGCCCTGAAGATGATCTCAATAAAGATCGAAACGTTGGCACGATAAAGAAAATGTTTTTCTGAAACCTACATCACACCAGACCGCATCTCACGATTTCTAAATAAATATCGATTAACGGTCACTAATCACCACACATATAAAACAATCATTACACTCCACACATCAAACAGTTCTACATAGTCTAAATCCCCAACTATTTATCTATACTTTCCCTAATAATCCCGGTCTATAATAATCCTGAAAAGCTAATTAGGCGCGACCGACAAATCATTACCCTTTTTTTTCCAAAGTCGTTCCCTTTCACCTCAAAGAAGCCGACTACTCATAGAAAAATGAATCCCCACTTATTCAAAACGAAACATATATAAATAAAAAAACATTAATATCTCACTAACTCTCTCAATCCGACACACAAACGTGACATATCTACACAGAAAACACACACTTTGAGTGAGTACAAATACTTTGATTAAATCTCAAAATTGTATAAATACATTTGCACATCTTTCATGTATTTGTATAATTTAAACAACGTGTATAAATCCTATTCCCTGAAGATGATCTCAATAAAGATCGAAACTGATTATTTAGAAGATCGTGATGTTCGGCCAGGTGTTATGTCGGTTAGATAGGTTAGTTTTCTTTATCGTGCCAACGTTTCGCTCCTTTTGGCACGATAAAGAAAATATTTTTCTAAACCTACATCACACCAGGCCGCATCTCGCTATCTCTAATTAATCATTAATTAACGGTCACTAAATACTCACATTATAAAATCTGTAAAATGTTAGACAAGTGGTTTGACCGGCAATACCCCATTCTCCCCTACTTATACAAAATACTCTCGATGTCGAAAAGGAAATAGCATTTCTTGCTATGATCAAGTATAATTAAATACTATACTTTATTACTTACGAGATGGAATATTAAAAAAATAGAAGTTTATTAATATTAAAGAGTCAAATTATGCAGGGAATCTTTTCTAACATGCGCCAGCAGGTTTTCTCTATTTTCCGAACAGTTACAAAAAGTGTCCCGATGGTAACCCCCCCTTTCATTTTTGCGCATATTCATAACAGTCAGCAATTTGTTTTTTTCGACGTCAAATATTTTTATTTCAAATGGGAACCTCTAAATTTTAATTTTTTTCTGAAACTATATTTTTTCTGAGAAGAATGTGTACCACAACTTTGGAAAACACTTTTTAAAAGGATAGTTCCTACTCACAGTAAGAGTCTTAGTGTGAGTAGGAACTATCCTTTTAAAAAGTATTGAACACCACACTCACTCCATCATTTATCATTTCTATTACTTTGGAAAACTTCCAAAATTGACCGCTCTAGGATTTTTGGAAAATATTAATAAAATATGGAAATTACATCGTAAAAGTTGATTAAACGCACGTTTCCATTTTATTATTTTTTTTAACCATCAGGTCCTTTGAAAATACTAAAACGTAAGGAAATATCATAAATAATGTTTATTTAAAGCAAGTTTCCATTTTCTTTGTTTTCACCATGGCCGGTATTTAAACATAACAATAAAAAACTTTAAACACAACCATCTGTGTACGTAAAAACGTACCTAAAGATTATTTAAACAATTAACATGATAATTTTATTTTGATTTCGATCGAGTTTGGCACTTGAGCATGCTTTGGAAATTGAAGAACATCCTCCCTACTATCTCAAACTGAGATCTTACCTGACGGACTAATTTTGCTAAGTCCGTCAAGGAAGTGAATTTTCACCTTTCGCATTAGGGCGGTTGTTACACAGGGAAGCATACTCGGTACATTTCTATTTTCAATATACATTACAGATATTCCTACACGTATTAACATTTCAACACATACATTCGAGACAGCAATTCTTACAACGTACCCTTAATTAACACGCAACACTTACAAAAACACCTGAATGAATTAACAGTACCGTTCACAAAGTGGAGAAACAAGATAAACCTAACGAAAAGCGTACAGATAAATTTTACCTTACGTAAAAATATCTGTCTTGCAATGAGCATAAATAGTACCCCATTGATCTTGTGCGTTATCTTGGACTTTTCCCTGACGTCGAATACCCACTCAATACTGAAAAGGCAGCAAACAAAACGAGGTTATAATCAATAAAATGACTACTTCTCACGTTCAAAAATAGACTTTCAAAACCAACTTTTAACTTACAAGAAAATGATAAGATCTCTCTGAGCGTACGGTTGTGAAGGGTGGGCCTCAACCAAGGATTTAAATTCCCAACGTCTCCAATCAATTTAATATAATATTCTCCGTCAGATTATAAATGCACCTTTTTATGCTTTAAACTATTCATAACGACCTACAAATCCCGTTTGTACATGAATTCATCAAAACCCGCCATAAAAGTGGGACACTGGGCAACTTCTACAAGAAACTTAAATGACAAATCCAAAATATATGAACATATTTACTTAATTAAAAATTTGTATTTTTAAGTATCATATAAATGTAATAAAAAAGTCTTGTTAACATTTCGTCAAATAAATAGTTAAAATTGAAAACCCTGCAGCCAAGTAAATATTTACAATCCACCAAGCAATTTCGCTCATTTTTATTATCTAAAATGGTCGTGTTTAAATTTTTTTATTATTATTATGGTAAACCGTACCTTATTGAAAAAAAATAAAATGGAAACGTGCGTTTAATAAACTTTTCCGATTTAATTTCCTTATTTTATTAATATTTTCAAAAAAATCTAGAACCGTCAATTTTGGAGATGTTTCTAAGTTTTAATACTCATTCCTCTCAGACAAAATCTATTTTAAGACAAAATTAAAAATTTGGGGTTTCCATTTGAAATTTTTAAAAAAATTGAATTTCATGATACTAGATATCTTAAAAATGTTGATAACGCACAAAAATATAAGTGCGGTTACCATTGATCGCTTTTTGTTGTCCGCAGTCGCACGCTAAAAAAGACCCTGTATACATTTTGGGGCAAATACCACTTACAAAATAGTCCTCCAGTGAGCTGGTATGAATTTACGTGTAAAACTGCACCAATGTTAAACATGTAATTATTGCCCAGCAAAACAAGACGGACAAAAATCACCAAGACAAAAAATTAAATTCGATGCGGCCAAAAAGGTTCAAATAATAAATGCAAAAAATATATAATATTAAAATTATCCAATTAGGTCCCCCATCTTTCTGCCCCTAGTATAATTCAAAAATAAAACTAGGTAAAAAAATAAAAAAAAATTTAAACAAATGTAGGATAATGTTGTCGTTCAAGTTTAAAAATTAATATTCAAGTGTTCTTTATCTTTGGAGCAAATAAACAACCTTTCTGTTCTTTCTCACCGCATAGTAGACAATTTTTTTAACTTTATATATATATATATATAACCTGGTACTGGCAGTAGACCTCTTTCCTCTCAAGAAACCAGGTCAAATGACTGACTATCATAGACTACACGAGTTTGCTTTGACAAGTTTTTAGGGATATCGGCCTGTAACTTGGGGCCAGATGAGTCTATGCTTTCCTTAAGGATGGGAACGACACGCGCCTCACGCCAGCGGTCAGAATGGGACCTCAACAAATTCAACAAGTTATGCTTCGTAACCTGGGGAAGGTTTTTTTTTTAAGACGGTATTTCAACTACGAGGTTATTTGAACCTTGATTTGAATTTTTTTTTTTTTGAAAAAAAGCCCATTTGTAAGTATGCCGAGTTCGAATGCAGGGCTGCTGGATTCGAACCCGGGACCTTTACCTTACAGTGATGAACGCCGTATCGGCCGAAGGTTACGTAGCATTTCATATTGGATACCGTCGCACCCAGGGTTTCAATTCCGGGCTCGCCGAAAACGGCGTCTAAATCCTCCAGTCATGGGTTATTCTATTAAATTAACGCAGTAAAAAAATCTTTTGCAAGACTTTTTAGGAGGTAAACAATTGTGGCATCGAGTATAACTGTTGGAAGGATACCAGTAGAACCTTAACTGAAATATTTTATCATTCAAACATTTAGTTAAGTTGTCTGTTAATGCGAAATTTATTTAGTGTTACTTTGGGTTTTTATACGATTGTACAAATCAACTAGACAAACCTGTAATCATTTCGAATAATGAGAATAACCATTTATTAAAAAAAAATTATTATATCAAAAAGATATAGGATTTTTGCTTAGTTTTCAATCCTTTAAATATTTGTGTAATGATAGAAAATCCGTTGGAATCATATATTCTAATGCATTTCGCATTTGCAGCAAAATGAAGAAATTTATTTTTGTAATTTTATCGAATTTGAAAAAAATGTCATTTGATTATTGACAACATTTAAGTGGCTTAAAGAATTTGAAATGTAAAACTTATTTTGTCTAGATTTTATAAAACATCCTAATTATCTCTAATGTTTGTTGTTGTTTAATTTAGGAGATCACCGTAAATCATTCTAGCCCATGAATTTTTGCTTGTAATTCCTTGCGGATTTGTGTCACAAGAAAAATCAGAAAAATGCAGTTAATTAAGGTCCACTAATTTTTTATTTATTGATCAAAATAAGAGATCAATAAACCAAAATTACGATAAAATGTATCATTTTAACGTGATTACGTCGTTCGACAGCTATTTAGACGCTTGACCCGCAAAGACGCGTGCGAGCACACAAACACACATATTGAATACCAAATATTATTTAAATCTGATGTTTCTAATTTTTGTTCCAACGGCCGATTTCGACAAAATTTCATGAATGTCAGTCGGGTTGCGTAGGATCAATTTATCAGTGAAATTTGAACAACTTACCATTGGTGTGAGCGTACTGGTGTGCGAGATTGGCCAGGGTGGTCGTCATCACCTGGCCGTTGCTCATCGGCATGTTGACCATCTGGTTGTTCGTTACCGCGTTGATCGGAATCGTCAGAATTGTCTGCGTGGCGATTCCTGAAGAAAATATTTTTAAAAAAATTACCAGATCAATCCTAGAAAAGGCTAAATCCGATTAATCGAACTTACCTTGAGAGGTAGGGATTAGCAACTGGGCCCCTTGGATGCCTTGGATTATCTGGCCCGAAGCGAGTATCAGCTGCGGCATTGCTGACGGCTGCGGGGGTGAAACCACTTGTTGCCCCGACGACAGCAGGTTCGCAGAATTAAGGTTATCTAAAAAGAAGCCTTGAATTACCTCAAGCAATTCTATTTTGCCGATTAATTTTATTTGCTATAATCTTCTACTATTTCGAGCGTTTAATTTTAACGAACGACATTTAACACTGATTAACTGACTATCTAGGAAATCACCTATCACTGCCTGATCACTTGGCGCAAGAAGGTTTTGTTTTACCAGTTGTACAGCAAGTTATATTTTTGGGGCTAACTTTAGATAGATTGGTGGGGTTGAGATGGGAAGTTAGTGTCCGAGTGGATCGAGGGTCATGATAGCTCAAGTGGTAGAGCAACGGCGTTTCTAACCGAAGATCGTGGGTTCGAATCCCGCTCCTGGCACTGAGTTTTGATCTCAACTAAAAACCTTAATTAATTGAAAGATATTGATTGGTCAAGCGGATCAGGAAAACTAGTGAATTTAGATAGAAAACTCAACTGGAAAACTCAATTGTTCAACACTTTAAAATGTATTTCTCACTTGACCAGTGGTGCAGATCCCTGTATAAGTCTTACGTTTTACCGTACGACCATCAGATCAAATTTTAACTTTGGAGCACAGTACTATGGCCAAGCAGGCAAAACTATTTTGCAGTAATTAGATAAGATACAGTACAAATGCCTAAGAGAGAGCCTTGGCGCACTCCGATCAACACCAATTGACATTCTACTAGCATAGACAAACCAATCTCCACTTGACCATAGCAGGCAGGTCATTTTGTACTGTCACTCCAGTGCTCTCTTGTCGTGTAAGGTGTAACATATAAATACTGGATAAAAAAGAAAAAACCACCTTTAACATTCACTTTCACCAATCCAGCCAAACACGAATCGTCAGTCCAATAATTATGTCCTTCACCTTATTTTAATGCCAACTTTGAAAGTACTCGGCAATTTTGTATACCTACATACATCTCCGAACACCGACGTGAATGCAACCCAAGTCACCCAAAAATGTCTAAGTGATCTATATGCGAGATTTCCAGACGGACATCTTATTTACACTGACGGATCACTCCTGAATGGACTAGTAGGTTGTGCATTTTATGATCCTGTGTAGAACAACAGGGAAACGTTTTCACTTCTACAGGATTTATCTATGTACACTTCAGAATTGGTTGCTATAAGGGAAGCTATGAAAAACGAACAAGAAGCAATTCCCGAAAGTGGTCATGTCTACAGATTGCCTTAGTTGTGTGCAAAAACATCGCAATGACAAATAGTTGTATATCGCGGACTTCATCATTATAGAAATCCTTGAACTTGCAGCAATGATCAGGTCTAAAGGGCATAAAATAGTGATTACTAATTCCCGAATTTCGTGGTCCGCTTGAGCAAATAATATATTACAATTAATTAAGGTTTTTAGTTGAGATAAAAAAAGTCAATGGCACGAGCGGGATTCGAACCCAGGATCTTCGGCTAGATATTATTTGATCAAGCGGACCACGAAATTAGTGAATTTAATGAATTAAAATGAAGTATACTTCACTAAAGCTCTCCGTGGCCATTTCATTTGTCGCCGAGAATCCAATCCGATTACTCGACATTTGAAAAATGGCAAAAAGGAGGGAAAACTCAAAAGATGGGGTTGAGATAGGAATCTGGTGTCCGAGTGGATCGAGGTCACGATAGCTCAAGTGGTAGAGCAGAGGGCGTATCAAGCCGAAGATCGTGGGTTCGAATCCCGCTCGTGCCATTGACTTTTTTGTCTCAACTAAAAACCTTAATTAATTGGAATATAGTTATTACTGTTTTATACCACTACTATCACCTGGATCAAAGGACACACAGGGTTCAAACATAATGTCGTAGATCGGCTTGCCAGAGATGCCACCACAACGGGCAATTCTCTAAAAGCGACTGTACCCAGAAAGGATTTTCATGCTATATTAAGATCACAGCGCCAGATAGATTGGCAAATTGAATACCCGTCAAATAACAAAGGGATAAGATACAAAAATATGTTTCTGTTGGTAGCACATGAACCTTGGTTCACTAAAGAAATTAATATAACCAAGGCATTTTGCAAAACAATAGTAAGGTTGAGATCCTGCAGGTTAAGACTGTGCAAGAGATATCTCAGCAGATTTAATATAATCCCGTCACCGGAACATATGAAGATCTCGAACACATCATCATGCACGGCAAGAAACATGCAAATGAACGCAAAATTTGTTCGACAGGCCCTTAAATGCCAAAGAAATAAGTCTTCAACCACCTGGATGGATACAAAGCTCTAATACCGTCAGCTGTGTACTGTGAATTGTATAGTCTTAGTGAGTATATTAAAGTAATTGTTTAAATAATGATGTACATGTATATTAGTATTATAATATTTAGTTTTTAGGAAATAATAATAAGTACGTAATAAGGTACACTTTTTATACGCATCTGGCTAATGCTTTTTTTTTAAAATAACTACAATGTCCTTTTCAATTTTTTTCATATTTTCTCAAACATGGAGCCTACAGGTAAAATGTGTCGTCATGATCTGAAAAATGGGTTCGTTCTTTCTTCACCCAATTGAATAGAGACGGGGCAAATTTACGGAGACACACCCTCGAGAAAATGCAGTGAAGTTTATGGAGTAACAATTGAGTAAGAGAGGTGATATACAGTTATAAATTGCAAGGGGGAGCTAATGGTCCTTGTATGACTAAATTAAATGGTTATATATTAAAATTAGGTACAAGTAATTTTTTATTTATTAGTCCCGCCCCTAGAGATATCCCTCTTAACCCAATTCAGGTTTGCATGACTATTACCATTTAAATGTCGCTCAAGTGCCAATGATTTGGTTCGACTTTATTTATGACACTAGAAGACTAGTTATTTTTCTACCGGTTTCAATTTTATGATCGATACTTTCGTCCCTGTAATGGGATACATGTGGATTTCAATGAATTATTCAAATCTGGGCAGTTATTAATGAGCGAAAATAGGCCGTTTCGGTTTTCGGCGAACATTTCTCTTTTATAAAATTTGCATAAAAAATATGCCTCTTAGCGAAAACTGGGCGTGGCCGTGGTATTATATTATAAAAGAAACGTTTGACTGGCGCAAATGACCCCGGCAGGAAGAAGTCGGCGGCACGACACTTGTTAAAACTCACTGGTTGCGTTTATGCTGAGGTTGAGCGGCGTGTTGATGGGTTGGTTGTTGATGATGCCAGGCGTGTGGACGCCCTGGACCTGAGGAGGTGCTGAAGGTCCGGCGTTTTGCTGTTGCAGGTTCAGTCCTTGGAGGCCGGGTATCGAACTTAGATTTAACAAACCTTGAACACAAATATAAAAATTAAGATAAAACTCATCCATAAATTATACAGGTAATTATGTTTATTAATTAATTATTATTTTTATGTAAGGACTTGGTTGAGATAAAAAAGTCAGTGTCACGAGCGGGATTCGAACCCACGACCTTCGGCTAAATACGCCGCTGCTCTACCACTAGAGCTATCGTGACTTCGATCCTCAAGGACACTAACTTGCCATCTCAACCCAACCTTTCGAATTTTCCCTCCTTTGCCATTTTTAAATGTCGTGAATTCAGGATTCCATTCTCAGCGACTTATGAAGTGCCATGAGGAGCTGTTTAGTGAAGTGATACTTCTTTTACTTATAAATATTAATCCATTTACGTATTGGATGGTCAATTGGCCAAGTTACTTCTTTCAATTAATTTTTTTTTAATTTGAACCAGAAGAGGTCTTATACACCCTCAGGGTGCCGACGTTTTTGAAAAAAAAAAAAAACATTTGGAAGTATGTCGGGTTCGAAGCAGGGCCGCTGGATTCGAACCCGGGACCTTTACCTTATAGTGATGAGCGCCATGTCAACGCCTAAATTGTTGCGGCCAGCGACGCCCCTTCAATTAATTATTTATTTTATCTCAACCAAGACATTACATAAAAAGAATAATTAATTGAAAGAAGTAACTTGGTCAATTGATCACTAAAACGTAAATGGATTTATGTTTATTAATTTGGGCTTGAGATATTTTGTTGAGATCTTCAATGTTCTGAGGTTTAGTTGGGCCACCCTTGGTTATGTCTGTCAGACGGGCAAGGCTAAGTTTTCGATTAAAAAAAAAAAAAAAAAAAAAATGAACTTCTGGCCTCAATATATACTTTTGAAACTAATAAGTCGTAAAATCTTGCAAGCTGCTTAGAGTTTGTAAGAAAATAGCAATTATTAAATGTGAAAAGAGTGGAAGTAACCCAGGAGGCGAGTAATAGGCTGATCGGGTCGCAGACCACCCAGTCCACATGCCTTTTTTGGGCAGTTGATTAAGAACAAACAACTTAGAGAGAAGTGATTGATTCAAATAAGTCGTTTATTCCTACCAGCGATGCATTTTCCAATAGTGGTATCCAAAGTTCGTATTAGGTGCTTTGAGCAATTTACTCAATTGTAGTACAGAATTCATGATTGTCCTACTGGGACAATTAAGAGTTGAGAATTAAGGAGTAAAACAGGGTGGGCGGTGACGTGAAAGCTGTCCGCAAATCGATGTTCGGTCCAGAATTATTAACGGGCACCCACAGCGTCCGATTCCATAAATCAGGCATACTTATAACAAATGATGAAAATGATGCCGCCGAATCAGACGTCCAGGACGCATTAATGTGACAGGTGGTTGCCGTTGTCGCCGATTGAAAAGGGACCGGGTTGAATCTGGTTAATTGCCTGTGAATACTTCCCTTGGAACAAATGGACAGTCGACACTTGCGGCTGGTGATAAGTGCTTTTAATGTATCAGTATTACTCTGATACGCGTCTCCGAAAACCAAGAAAGCCTAATCAACATCCCGTCAAAACCCGACCCAATCCTCACTGGAAACAATGCAACGATTACAATTATCCAGATAACGCCTAAAAAAGCTATTAGGAAAATTTTCAGGAAGTCAAATGTGATAAAGTACATTACAAGCACTTACATCTTATTGCGGTTGGTAGTTCCCATTATTAATTTTAATTGCCTAATATACGATTGGCATTAACGAGTCTTACTGTAATTTAGTTTTTAACATGGAATATAATAATAGTAATAATAGAAATTATTATAATTAAAGTTAATTTTTTTAATCTAACCCCTTTTGTAATTATTTTGGAATTGGTATTACAAGGTTTTTTTAAATGGAGGGAGATCGTTTTGAAAATTACGAAACATTAATGTAATAAAACGTTGAGAAAATTGCTGTACTGCTATTAATTTTCTTTAAAGCCCCTTTTTGCTATCATTTAGAAATATCTATCCCTGAATTTTTCCTGGACTTTAAGGCTAACATTTTCATTAATGTAGTATTACAAGAACATATGAAAATGTTCTTTTATAAATGTCCGATATCTGCGAACTGACAAGGTTGATTAGCTTTTTGATTAAGCTTTTATTCCGCCATTTTTCATTTTAAGAATGTTTATGACTGCTTTCTTACATCACGTAGTTTTTTGTTTTTTTTTTTGGGGGGGGGGTTTACGCTGGCATATTACCCATAAAGTTTTCTTCTATTTTCATTTTACTGTCGAGCGTGATCGGCCGAGCAGGGCCAGGTCCCCGCCGCGCGCCCGCACCACTCATTCAGCTCCATCATCTTCTCATCTTCTAAATTTTCATGCTTGAAGATAATCAAAAAGAAACGTTTATCGACTTTAGAAATCCATAGATTATGTTGAAAGCTGATGGATTGTTGCTTATTAGGACAGATTCCAAGTTTATTGGTTTTGTAATGTTTGGGACTTTGCTCAGATTTTCATCACGTAGTTAAAAGTCTTCATGCGATAATTTCTAAAAATAGGAAGGGTTACTGTGGTTGAAGTAACTCTAAGATGACGAGCGACAAAATTTGGTTTATTAGTTGATTATTTTGTCTAAAATTGGTCTTTCTTTCTTGCTAAGTACAAAACAATATTAGTTCAGTAATGCAAAAACAAACAATCCAAGTATATTTACCGTATTTCAAAAATATCCTTTCCCAGGATTTTTTCCCTAAAATAATAGGTTAATAAAAGTTAACAATACCAATAAATCAAAGTTTAGTGAACATATTTTAATTTCCCAGTATTATATGTTATGTGATATATGTTATTTATTGGAACGAATGTATTCATTTGCGTGAATGAAGGTGCTTATCCCCCAAATATGAATATCGAGTACTCTAGTGTAGTGAGAATGATTTGTGCTGAGTATAAGTAATTTATTATCGTGAAGGGATGGGTTTATTCCAAATTACCTGGAGGAATATCGAGTTGGGTACTGTGAATGGTAACTAGACTCATTTTTTTAATCTTGTTTCAGGGTATCCGTGTATTTGAGTCTGTTTGTCTTATTTTAGCCACAACTGATGAGGCCTTGAGGTGCAGAAAGACTTGCAATAGGACAAGGAAAAGAGAGAGTTGGTTATAGTTTTACCATAAAATATAATAAACGGCTGGACAAACAAAAAAGACATTAGTAGGATTACAACGCGAGAAAGATAAGAAAAGAAACATAATGCTAGGGAAGAGAAGGCTGGCGATCATCAACGTAGTACACACTATTTAAAAAACAGTTTATTTACATGTAATTGATTATTCAGAAATCGTGAGATGCGGTCTGGTGTGATGGTTTCAGAAAAACATTTTCTTTATCGTGCCAAAGTTTCGATCTTTATTGAGATCATCTTCAGGGCTCAAAGTGTTTGTCTTCTGTGTAATTGTGCCATTCTTGCGTGTCGTGTTGAGAGTGCCAGGCAAGAATGGCACACTAACGCAGAAAACAAACACTTCGAGCCTTAAAGATGATCTGAATAAAGATCGAAACGTTGGCACGACAAAGAAAATGTTTTTCTGAAACCTACATCACACCAGACCGCATCTCACGATTTCTGAATAATCACGACTAACGGTCACTAATCACCACACATTTTTACATGTAATATTTAATATGATAAGCTGTACATAATTGGTCTTTAGAGTAACTCTTGAAGCAGATGGTTTATGTTAACCTGTACTGATACAAGTTGAGGTATGGGTGTGTAATAAGTGATAACTTCCTAAGAATAAAGTTAGGTATATTTTTTGCCGTGTTCCCCATTACAGATTTCTCTTAATTTATCAAAATATGTTCAATATTTTCCTATGAAACCATATTTTTTGAATAATAAATGCAATTAAAGTGGTTTTTAACACCATTTTCCTTCTCAGTAAAAAATAACGTGCTCATAACTATCCTTTGGGATCAATATTTCAAATGCAAAATTTTCGATTAGAGCCAAATTAATAAATAATGAAATTTCGTCAATATTTCGATAAGTTAGTAAGAAAATATATTGTTGAACTTTTTTTTGGCACAGCTGTCTGTTTGCAGACTCAACACTTTTCATATTTAAAAATAACATCTAAAACTTTTGCATATATATATTTATATTACATTAGACATATACAGGGTGAGTCATTTTTTGACGCGCCATTGGAAAATCAACGTGGGTTCGTTTAAATCTGACTCGAGGCTTATTTCCTTTGATTAATACGTTAATAAAAGAAAGTGAGTCAATTTTCGGTGCACCATACGAAAATCAACCTTGGCGCGACTAATTAAGACTCGGCACATTTTATTTTGTTAGTCTCCTACCAAAAAATAGGCGAGTCACTTTTCGACACACCATTCGTTACAAATTAGTTTTAGTAGGTTGGAAGGAAAATAAACAAAACCAATATTATTAAAACATTCAAACACAATGTAAAAATTTTAAAAAAAATTCTTCACATATTAATTTGATTAAGGTTTAAGAGTATTTTTTTCGTGTTGCAGCAAATGGAGGTCTGTTCGAACAATTATTATAATGATTTTGAACATTTTTGGTTTGCTAACAAAGGAGATGGTTACATTTATTTAATTTTTTACTTTATCAGAAAAAAGGAGATTGTTACATTTATTTAATTTTTTACTTTATCAGAAAAAAAGGAGATTGTTACATTTATTTACTTTTTTTACTTTGCCAGAAAAAAATACTCTTAAACCTTAATCAAATTAATATGTGAAATTTTTTTTAAATTTTTACATTCTGTTTGAATGTTTTAATAATATTGGTTTTGTTTATTTTCCTTCCAACCTACTAAAACTAATTTCTAACGAATGGTGCGTCGAAAAGTGACTCGCCTATTTTTTGGTACGAGACTAACAAAATAAAATGTGCCGAGTCATAATTGGACGCACCAACGTTGATTTTCCTATGGTGCACCGAAAATAGACTCACTTCCTTTTTTTAATGTTAAGATGAAAAGAAATAGGCCTTGAGTCAGATTTAAAAGCACCCACGTTGATTTGCCAATGGTGCACCGAAAATTCATTCGCTTTCTTTTATTAACGTATTAATCAAAGGAAATAAGCCTCGAGTCAGTTTTAAACGCACCCACATTGATTTTACAATGGTGCGTCAAAAAATGACTCACCCTGTATATACAAAAGTTTTAGATGTTATATATATTTGAGAGTGAATGAGAGAATATATGTTTTTCTATTAATTTATTCACTTATATCTCTAACTATATAAGTAGATGGATTGGATTGGTGCAATCAAATTATTGGTGTGAATGTGTAGCGTGAGATGGTCGATGACGGAATAATGAGTACTCCATCGACCCTCAATTAGGAGTACTTACTCATATGAGTAGTTACTGTTGTGGACTTTGAGTTAAAATAACCAAGAAATTACAGGGTTTTTTATTTTTAAGTATTTTTTCATACTGTGGGTAATTAGGTAAGTACAATGAAATGCTGCCAACACATTTCAACTTAATAGATATTTCAATTTTATCGTTGTCGAGTTTTGAGAAAATTTGGTCAACGGGTGTTTAGTTTTCAAATGTTTGAAATGATAAGACGTATTCCCACTGTATTCCCCAGAGTTTACAAGATGCCGACGATTCAGTTTTCTTAGTAAAATAACTTTTTGGGAGGAGACATGATTAGGTATCTACCTAAGAGAAGGAAGGCGAACACATTTGAAGGACTTGAAGGCAAAAACATTTTACAAGAAATTACTGAATTTGAAAGTGCGAGGTGGGACGCGGGAAAGAATTATCAGCAAAGATACCAACCACCAATTAAAAATCTCGATTAACTTTGTTGACACATGTCGCTAGTAGGCGCTCTTGACAGTAACTAGTCAATTCCCAGTTTGATGAAAGTTAAGTTTCGAACGGTAAATAAAAATGCAATATTACTTGAACACTCGACGAAAAATCTATTTGAGTATATTTTCCAATACTAGAAAAAGTATTCGATACAGTACTTGTATCGAATGGTATCGCACGTCACTAGGTGATTCTCGAGGCCTGCCGGCAATTTATGGTAAATTATAAAACTGGATTGCGTGAAGTGAACAACTGTCTATACATGTACATATTGGGTTGTCCGGAAAATAATGCAGGATTTTAAGTTTTCATTAAAAAAAATCTATATAAAATATTCTGTTTACGTTTACAGGATTACTCACTCTTCCAAATGATATTGTTTGTTTACCTCTGTAGCATTCCGCTACTTGGAAATAATTCAGTCATCCTTATAATGTCAAAGCGAGAATTTCGTACGATTTTCTTTTACGAGTTTAAACTCGGCCGAAGCGGAGCCCAAACGGCTAGAAACATTAACCAAGTCTGGGGCGAGGGTTGTGTTAATGAGTGCACTGTGCAAAGGTGGTTTAAAAAATTTCGGGAGGGAGATTTCAGCCTTGAAGATGAAGAAGGTCGTGGAAGGCCTTCCTCTCTTAATGATGATGTTCTGCGATCAGTGGTGGAAGAAAACCCCAAAACAACTGTTCGAGAACTTGCAGAGCAACTCAAAGTCAGTAAAACGACCGTCGCTGACCACCTCAAGGCGATTGGAAAAGTGAAAAAACTCGAAAATTGGGTTCCACACTCATTAAACGATCGCCAAAAAAATCAGCGCTTTGATGTTTGTGCATCACTTCTTTGTCGAAACAAAAATGACCCATTTCTGGCCAGAATTGTTACATGTGACGAAAAGTGGATTCTCTACGATAACACTAGACGTTCTGGACAGTGGCTCGACAAAGGAGAAGCTCCAAAGCCCCCAACTCATCAAAAAAAGGTAATGGTTACGGTATGGTGGGCTTCATTTGGTTTAATACACTACAGCTTCTTAAATCCTGGCGAAACCATCAATGCTGAATCATACTGTAACCAAATTAATACCATGCATCAGAAATTGGCAGTAATGAAGCCCTCTTTGGTCAATCGGAAAGGGCCCATTTTGTTGCATGACAACGCTCGACCACATGTGTCACGTGTAACGTCACAAAAATTATTGGAGCTTGGCTATGAAACTTTGCCTCACCCACCCTACTCTCCGGACCTCTCGCCTACTGACTACCATTTTTTTAGACACCTGGACCACTACTTACAACACATAATATTCAAAAATCAAACGGAACTGGAAAATGCATTTATTGACTTTATCAATTCTAAAAATTCTGAATTCTACTCAGACGGAATTAATAAGTTACCAACACGTTGGGAGAAATGTATTGAGAGTATGGGAAATTATTTTGATTAAAGAACATTGCTTTAAAGTAACTAGTTTCTTTTTTTTTGTTTAATACCAAAATCCTGCATTATTTTCCGGACAACCCAATAGATACATGTGCAGAATGGAGCTTGTATAAATCCAATTCGATCCATCTACTTGTATAATTGGAGGTTAATTCTCATTGTGCCTTGAACACAACTAAAAATCATTTTGGCTATTTGTTGTTTTTACTTGTGTACTTGAAGTCAGGAGTGTTTAGTTTGTTTTTAAAATTTATTAGTGATGAAATCATTTTTAAAAATGAAATCTTTATTATAATCCTTACCGTTAAGTTGTTGTTTTACTTCAAGATTGGGTTGGGGGCTATGTCCTCGACTTTCTGGTACACCCATGTTTCCTTCTCCACAAGATTCCAAACTACTGCATTCGTCCTCACTTTCCTGTAAAAAAGAAAAAAGAAATTAAATTTCGGTAGAACGGTTTATCATATCGATTAGAGATGAGGGAAAGTCCAAATAGTAATAGGATTATATACGTAGCCGGAGAGTAAGAGTGATGTCTGTTGGATGAGTTGCGTCATAAGAACTGGGATGGGAAGTTAATAACGCCCTCGCCGCTTCCCCCATTAATAACTATCTAATTAGTAATTACTCTCGTAGAGGAAAACCCTTAATTACTTGTATGTAATCTTGATCGGGAGGAGGGCCGGAGGTGGAGGGAGGGAATCGGGTTGAAATCTACTTAAGGGCGACACAGCGAGAGCTCGGGGGTGGGGGCCGTGTTTTAGCGACCTAACCCAGTTAGTACGAAGAGCGGAGGGAGAAGGTTTAGTAATTACATATTGCGCCGGAGGAGAAGAAGGGCCGGAAAGGGTGCTAATGCTCAGAAATCAAAACTGTTACAAAAAATGGCTCCAGGCCACCGGGAATATTACGCGACCCTTAAATTTGGAGCGCGGGCGTTGCAGCCGCCACTTTTTCAACTTTTCTTGGTCTGTAGTCGATTTTAAAGCCGGGAACACACTTACCCGATGAAACGCTATGCGACGCTACCCTAAGCTACCGTACGCAAATCCAAAGGCCAATTTTCCATAAGTCTATAATACCTCCGTGCACATCTGCCCGAAGCTACGCAACACTACCCTACTCTACGCTCTGCGATCCCCACTGTCCAGGTTTTCGTCGGTTAGCATCGAGTACAGTCGAAGACAAAAGAACCGGACACTCATATTTTTATTCAAACTGCATGTATTATTGTCGTTGTATTAATTGCAACAAACTTACTTTAAAATAAACCAAATTAACCGTGATCAAAAATTCATTAGTTTTTATTAAAAAACATTAATTTCAATGGTTTGGGAGAAAATAGATCAAAACAGTGGAATACAGTTTATTGGTGGAATAAATTTAACTAACAATTTATTTCATGGTTTTGCTCATCATACAATTACACCATTTTCGTCAAGTAACGTCAGAATAGACACTCTTTTTTTGTAGTTTTTTCAAAATATGTATATGTAAATTTGTTGTTATGTTAATTACAACATTCTTATTTTAATATAAATCAAATTAAACGAGATCAAAAATTCATGATTTTGATAAAAATTATTTAATTATGATAGTTAACGACACTACCCGATGCTACCAGACGCAAATCCAATGTCCATTTTTCCATAAGATTGTATTACCCCCGTGCACATCTGCCCAATGCTATGCAACGGTGTACGGTAGCATCGAGTACAGTCGAAAACAAAAGAACTGGACACACATATTTTTATTCAAATTACATATTTTATTGTTGTTATATTAATTACAACATACTTATTTTAATATAAACCAAATTAACAGAGATCAAAAATTCATTAGTTTTCATTTTAAAAAAATAATAATTTTAATGGTTTTGAAGAAAATTGATCATACACCGGAATACAATTTTTTCATATAGTGAATTTGACTAACAATTTATTTCATGCTTTTGCTCATAAAATTATACCATTTTCGTCGAGTATTGTCAGAATAGGACACTCATATTTTTTGTAGTTGATGTAAGTACATCAAAGTATATGTAATTTTGTTGTTATGTTAATTACAACATTCTTATTTTAATATAAATCAAATTAAACGAGATCAAAAATTCATGATTTTTATAAAAAATATTTAATTATGATAGTTAGGCAGAAATTTATCAAAACACCGGAATAACTTTATTTAAAATAATTAAATTTAACTAACAATTTATTTCATGGTTGAGCTCATAAAATTTAACTAACAATTTATTACATGATTTTGCTTAAAATAATGGATTATGAACAAAAGACGCGTTGCGATTGTGATACTGATTTGAGATGCACGCTGTGTGGCGTGCGCTTGACGTCGCAAAGATGTGCACACCCTACCAAATCGTGGCAAGGCGTCGAGTAGCATCGGGTAGCGTCGCATAGCGTTGCATCGGGTAAGAGAGTGTTCCCGGCTAGAAGCACGACACGTGTCTGTCGTAACGCTGAATCAGTTTACAGATGTTTAATTATTATACTAGGATACGAGAGGATACAAGTCACTAGCTCAAGTGGTAGAGCAGCGACGTATTTAGCCCAGGGTTCGAATCCCGCTCGTCACACTGACTTTTTTATCTCAACCAAGACCTTGCTTAGAAAGAATAATTAATTCAAAGAAGTAACTTGGTCAATTGACCACTAAAACGAAACATAATTTGTAAAATTAGACCTTCGCTTTGTTGAAAAGGCAAGACGATTTTCATGAAACCTCAAGATCGATTCGGTTAGAACCGCCGGGTCGGAGATTCTGTCGCTGCCAGTGTTTGTACTTAAACCGAGCCGAATCGAAGACTAAAATCTCCTCCGAAACCGCACGGCGATGCTTATTAATAAACTTTGGCCGAACTCGAACTGAGCCGTAGTCGGCGTGTAACCTACTCTCTGATTCAAGCCTATTAAATTCCAACATGTTCACCCTACAAGTAAGTTTCGACGTTCTTTGTAGGAAATGTCAATTCGAGAAAAAAATATAATATCAAAACATAATTCTTTATCCGACCTATACCAATTATAATATGTTATTATAAATTAAATATTCTTGTTAAGAACTATTGCTTTTCGTTTTTAAACAGAACATTGTGTATTTTTTCCATTAATCAGAAAAATATTGTATAGATTACTTAATTTTTTGTTTATTTTAAATTAGCTCGATTTTGAATTACTTTGGTTCAGATCATCCATAAAATGATATTATGCACAAAACCCTTGACTGTATTATTAAATAAACAAGAAAAGACAAATTTTCATTATCATATAACGCCTTCACACAATAACATAAGGAAATACAATAAGTAGTATATAAAATTCTACAATTTTAAATTTGACTACAATTTTATTTCTCTGACTGAAAAGAATGTTGAATGCTATAAACGAAAAGTTACTTCGAAAGTCAATTGAATGCCCATTGTCTGTGTTAATTCTCACGTGGGCCGGAAAGTTTTGGATTCTCTTTTTTTGTCATGATAGTAATTTTGAGTTTTCCCCGGCCCATGGAGGCAGTCTCTAAATTGTGAAATTAGCAGTAATTACTACTAGTCATAATTGGAGTTCACTTTCGCTGACAGTAGAATAAATGAGTAATGCCTTTTAGTAATGACCGGTTAGTATCCTAATGTTAACTAGCCCGTCAACGAGAAATTATATTAATTTTCGTATGTCATCCCTAACGAATCCCTTGTCTTTAATCGCCGGATATTATAGGATAGATACTCAACCGTTAATATTATTGGTCCCAATTAAAATTTATATTTATATACACATATATATATTTTTTTAAATTAAACATCTGCCTTGGAGTAATTAGTGTTTTATCTTTAAGCAAGATCTCGCCCTTAGCTCGGCACTTTTTCGCTGATTCTGCTTCATTTGAATTAATATAATTTTCATTTAAAACCACCCCCTACACCCAGAGCCCTCCTCGACGAGGCTTGCTTAAATTAATTAAAAGGGCGAGTAAAAGTTAACTTATACGTACGCGTTTTAATTTTTTTTTCAAATATAATGAGGGGAAAACTCTTTTCCCCGTTTATAGTATTGTATTTTTTTTTACACACCATAGAAAATGTAATATGTCATAATATATACTTTTTAATAATATAAACTAAAGTATATGTACTGTTTTTAATTTATTGTTTCGTTCTTGCATATTCTGCAAAAAATTCTTAATTTTTACGAGTGGACCGATATTTTTAAATACACTGGCACCATATACCATTTATTTAGTTATTTATTTCATGGCTAGGATTTTAACGTTAATTTATTATTTTCAATTAATTAATCTTTAAGTAAGGTATTGGTCGAGATAAAAAAGTTCGTAAATAAAAAAACTTTGATCTCTCGGACACTAACTTCCTATCTCAACCCAACCTTTCTAATTTTCCCTCTTTTTGCCATTTTCAAATGTAGTGTATCCAGGATTTAATTCGCAGCGACTTATGAAGTGGCCACGTGGAGCTGTTTAGTGAAGTGATAATTCTTTTACTTATTAAATATTAAATTCACTAATTTCGTGGTCCGCTTGACCAATTAATATATTACAGTTAATTAAGGTTTTTAGTTGAGATAATAAAGTCGTGGCACGAGCGGGATTCGAACCCACGATCTTCGGCTAGATACGCCGCTGCTCTACCACTTGAGCTATCGTGACCTCGATCCACTCGGACACCAACTTCCCATCTCAACCGCACCTTTTGAATTTTCCCTCCTTTTTGGCATTTTTCATCTCGCTCGTGACATTGACTTTTTATCTCAACTAAAAACCTTAATTAATTGAAAGATATTAATTGGTCAAGCGGACCACGAAAACTATTGAATATTAGTGTATTATTAGATCCTTTTCTTTTCATCTTATCTTTTTCCGTGGACATTTCATTTGTCGTTGAGAATACAATCCGATTACACGACATTTGAAAAATGGCAAAAAGGAGGGAAAATTCAAAAGATGCGGTTTAGATGGGAAGTTGGTGTCCGAGTGGATCGAGGCCACGATAGCTCAAGTGGTAGAGCAGCGGCGTATCAAGCCGAAGATCGTTGGTTCGAATCTCGCTCGTGCCACTGACTTTTTCATCTCAACTAAAAACCTTAATTAATTGTAATTTATTAAATATTATTCCACTTATGTTTTAGTAGCCAATTGACCAAGTTACTTGTTTCAATTAATTATTCTTTTAATGTAAGGTCTTGGCTGAAATAAAAAAGTCAGTGTCACGAGCGGGATTCGAACCCACGACCTTCGACTAAATACGCCGCTGCTCTACCGCTTGAGCTATCCTGACTTCGATCATCTCCGACAGTAACTTCCCATCTCAACCTCACCGTTTTTTTTATTTTTCCCTCCTTTTTGCCATTTTTCAATCCCGCTCATGGCACTTTTTTATCTCAACCAAG